GCATGTATTAGGTAATATTTAAATAAATAAGTGCACACAAATGTAAGTAAAAATATTGATTTTAAAATATTTACACTGACAACTTTGTGCAACAAGAGGGGAAAGAGTGAGTGGCATGTAGCATGCCTCACAGCTGTCCTAGTGAAGATGAGCAAAGGGATGCACATTTTCAGGGTGTCTGTTGATATCCTTGCAAAAAGGTTGTTTCATAGGAGCAAATGAGAAACACAAAAGGGCCTTAGAACTGTGTCTCTGGGACAGTCTAAGGGTTGATTTAACTCCATTGCAATACAAAATTGAAGAACCAATTCAATATGATTGCACTGTTATTTCAAGGCAAAACTCCTAGATTTTATTACATGAAAAGAAAATAATGCCAGGGCAGTTGTAATGGTGAACACTTTCTGGAGTACCTGCTGCCACTCTAACTGAACAACACGAACTCCCCTGCAGATGAAAATGTAAATTTTATTGAGCAAAACCAGCAATACACAAAAATGGAGTCTTTTTACTTTCTGCAGAAAGCTGGCAATGAATCTCAATACCTTCAAGTATCAATCCTATTTTTACCTACCTGTAAAACATCAGCCCTTTCCAAATGTGAGTTTTTGAACTGGAGATGTCTTCCTACTGTCAATTGTTGGTCAAAGTGATTTTGATAAGTTTAATTCAAACCTATCATCCTAAAACATCCTGGGTTCAGTGTGCTGGTTTTGGCCAGAGTAGAGTCAATTTTCTTCCCAGTGGCCAGTATGACATTGTGTTTTAGATTTGTGTGGAACAGTTGATAACAGAGATGTTCTTGTTATTGCTGAGCAGGGATTGCACAGAGCCAAGGCTGTTTCTACTCTCTATGGCCAGGCTGGTGGGGAATTTGAGGGTGCATGGGAAGCTGGAAGGAGACACAGGGCAGGTGACCCCAACTGACCACAGGGACATTCCCACACCATGTGACATCATGCTCAGCAGATAAAGTGGGGAGAAGAAGGAAGAAGGGGAGGATATTTGGAGTGATGGTGTTTGTTTGCCCAAGTAACCCTTACGTGTGCTGGGGCCCTGCTCTCCTAAATGGCCGAACACCTGCCTGCCCTGGGAAGCAGTGAATTCATTCCTTGATTTGCTTTGCTTGTGTATCTTAATCTTAACCCATGAGTTCTCTACCTTTTACCCTTCCAATTCTCTCCCAGTTCCTACAGGTAGGGCAGTGAGCAAGTGGCTGTGTGGGGCTTGGCTGCTGATTGGGATTAAATCATGACAGCTGAGCAGACCCACTCATTAGCTACTTACAAGACAACAGATCTGGTTAGTGGTCTCTGAAATCTCTACAGGTTAAAGAGAAAACCTTGTGCAAATACTGTGATATCTTAAGATTTAAGAAGTATAAGATATGTACATTGACAGGTTTCTTAGGTGTGTTTAGAATCACAAAGAGATTAATCTGCTACTTCAAATAACCACTAAGAATGTGTATAAAGTTTATGAAAATATATGTCTTGCATTCGCAGCTGAGGGTGCTCCTGTTGTTTCTGATGGAGTTTATTTAGTGGTAAGGGATTTTAAATAGGTTATTAATATAAGCATGAAACATAGACCTTTTGAATTAACACAGATTGTCACATTCAGATATATGACAGTTGTAGGTTTTTTCTATTTTATTCATATTACCCAAGGCAATTCAGACCATTTTAATTCTGAATACTAAGAACTAGTAGAACAGAGGTGAATAATGTGTTTCTTAGCTAATCTAGTGAGGCTGCAGACATGATATCCAGTATTTTGTTTTCTCGCATAGTATCTCTGGGCTAGACTAGGAGATACCATAACTACTGAGCTAAGGTAGATGTTTGCCCCCTAGGTTTCCTCTACAGGAACTGGAGAGAGGAAGATTCTTTAGAGGTTAATCCAAGGAAGATTATGTGTAAATTAATAGTACAGTAAGTATCCTGAATGAATTGAAAAATACTAGGAAAAGAAATAATTAAGTTTGGGTGCCCAAAGTCAGATGATATGAAAAACCAACTAAACAACACTCCTCAAACTCACAATAAAAAACACCACAATGTTTTTTCCCAGAATACTGTTTTATTATAGCATTTTCCTAACTTTTCACATAAGTTGAATTTTAGTGTAAACCACAATTATATAATTTTTTTGGTACTATTTCTCAAAAAGAAATCTTCATAAGCAAATGAAAACAGACTCAATATGTGTTATCTGTGATTTTGGAAGTGGTAATAACTACTCACTGGCACACTAAATATTTCAGGATACCCTGCAATACATTTCAAATTCTTGGCTTCCCTATCTGACATGGTATGTGCCCTATGTAAATTAATGCCATAACCAGGATTACACAAGTTGCTCAGACAATGTAAATTAACATAGATCCAAGTAAGTAAAAACTAGATGAGAATACAAATTAGCTGATGTAAATATTAATTTGATTGAAGTGTTAAATAGTTTATTTATAATTTTTCATCCACTTTCCTTGTGAATCCTGTTCATACCCAAAATAGGAAACTGTCAATGAATCACACAGAACTCCATCAGATAATCTCCTATTTCTCTTAGTTATTAATTCAAGTTCTGTGGCAGACATGGATTCTGCTTGGGTTTTCTGTCCCTTGCTTGTCTCAGCATTTTTTTTTCCTTGTCATATCTCTTCTCATATCTTACATCCTGTATCCTGTGGTATCTGAGAGGAAAACACTAGACCTCTTTACTTTTTTTAGAGTGGAAACTAAGGAAAATGTGTTGATAATGATGCAGAGCTACAGCAAGTCTGAAGGATGAGTGAGACATAAATGGTGACAAAATAAGAGGTCAGCTTTTCTCTTGAATGATAATCTTAAATGATACCCTGGTGAAACACTGTAAAATAACTTGGTCAAGACCTGGGGGCTACTGAGCTGCTGTGTAAATGGAAGGATTTTGTATTTGAGAAGCTTATGGAAATGTCTCTAGGAACACAGAAAATAGAGGAAAAGAGTACTCAGAAAAGGATTAGATTCTGGATATAACACATGTAGTATAAATGATGAGTTTGCAGGTAAAATATAAAAAGAATATAATAAGTAGAGGAAGAAAATAACAGCTAGTATTGCAAAAACATAGAAAAGGATGATGTGAGACAGCTGTAGCTGGAGAAACAGTTTGAAAAATGAGACCAAGTTAGATGAAAGAGGAAAGAGCTGAATAAGAGCCAAAGGTGAACACAGTGGAATCTGCTATTCATCCATCATTATAGATTTGACAGCTTCCTTCTAAAGTATCAAGAATATGCCAAACTGTGAGGCCAATGAATTATAATAGTAAAGGTTTTCCAGTGTTATTTTCCTTATATTCTTTTAACATAAAAAACAAAACAGAAAATGTAGGTGGAAGGAGTGAATGAACTGTGATAATAGATAGATGTCTGTGAAGATAAAATAACATTACATTTTCAAGATCTTCGACTGTAGACAGGTGTTCAGAAACACAACACAGTGACTGGATGGAGTCCATTTTAGAGAAAAACTTCCTTCAGGTTGCCATGAGTGCAAAAATGAAAATCAAAGGGAGTAAATTTGCACTCACTATGCAATTGCCTACTTCCAACACACAAAGAAAGAGGGAAAAAGAAAGTCACATGACATGTTGCAATAGATAAATGATCACAAGGGAGGCATATTTAATAATAACACAATATCAAAGTAGGTTATAACTGTTTATCGAAGAGTTGAGCATAGATAGTTGAGTATAGTCAGAAACAATAATTGTAAAGTTTACAAAGTCCAAATAGATGTCCGGGAAGATCAATAAACAGAAGGAAAAGAACTACATGTGTGAAAGAGGGCATTATAAAAATATTTGAAACCTGGTGGGCTAATCACTAACAACAAAAGTCCATTACTAAAATTTAAAAATTCAAGAAGCAGTATAAAAGTATCCAAGGAGGAAAAAGCATTAAAGAGATTAAAAATACACTAAAAAAAATAAAAAGGAATGAAAATATACTAATTGCAGAATGTACAAATTATTTTTTTTTAAAAGGTAGACAAATTATAAAGTCCTGTTGCAGGATTTTTAAAATTTTATTACTCATATTACTGAACCAGTAAGAGATCACTCTATCAGATTCAGTTTTGGTAAAAGTTAACTGAGATGGGGTGGTTGAATATAACATGGGTTTAGTCACAGTAAAGCAATTAATTTTTTCATTCAATGAGTGGAAAAAACATATGTGATATAAGGTCTTCAAATTCAAAAGATAATATGAGTGCTCAAGAAACTGCAAATTACTTTAGACTGAAGAAACTGTATAGAAGAGGAAAATTTTATATGCCTGGCAATCTTAATAAAGGCACATTATACTGCCTGTAGTTGTCTGGTTTATCTCGGTTGTTTGAGGGGCCTGGAAGGCCCGGGGGTGGCCTTGGGGCAGCCCGC